CGTCTGATCTACATCCGACAAGACAACACGAAGCCGCATATATCGCCATCAGATCTAGCTCTTCTCGAGGCAGCGACAATGAACGGATTTAATATTTGGCTTTGTTGCCAGCCGGCAAATAACCCAGACACTAACTTCTTGGACCTTGGTTTTCTTAATGTTATTTAAGCGTTACAACATCAAACTTCATCGAAGACGATCGACGATCTCATAGCGACCATGGAGCTTGCTTTCAATGAGCTTGAGGTTAAAAAACTCATTTACTTGAATCTAACATTGTAGCAATGCATGATTTGCACAATAGTAGACGGAGGAGGAAACGAATACAAACCGTAGCATATGGCAAAAAGCAAGTTGAAACACGCAGGAATAATTTTGATGGTGCTAACAGTTGACCTGGGCCTCCTAAATGAACCAAAGCGTCAATTGAAGCCAATTAAACCAATGGGACGATTCAGCATGTACAAAATTGTGCGTGCAAACCATAGAGTTTATACGGATAGAGGAATTAGTAGACTCAATCAAGTCAATGCATTGTTTAAAATTATTTTTTAACAAGCTTTTGAAGATATTTTGTTAACTAGAATGATTTTTCATAAGAAGCACAATAAAATTTAACATCAGTTTTTAAACATATATGGCTCTTTTAATTACGTTTTGACTACGCATTTTATCTATCTAGCTCTAACTTGCATAGACATTTGTTATATTTTCTTCACAATTTTTTTATAAAGTTTTCATATTGATGATAAAGATGAACCATTCCAAGGTATAATATCAATGTTAAGATTGTTATGAATCAACTTAGATCTTGATTAATCTAAATTAGCTTAAATAATAAAAACGTTCATGGCAGCTTTCAGCGATACAATTAAATAAAGATTGAGTTTTTGTTGTGGATATAGCTCTTAATAATGAATCATATATTCTTTTGTGATGATTTTTTGAATGTCTCTAGTTTTTTTAGAATGAATGTTTGTTCTTATACATGGTATTTGAATTTTGTGCTAACTCTAATTCAAAGTTTACCTCATATGATCTTTTTGTAGCTCATCATGAAACTAGTATAGAAGTAATGCTCTACTTGTTTATATCTTGAACACACTTTCACACAATCTCTTCATTTTATCACTCAATTTCAAACATTTATCAACATTCCAATATGATAATATAACTCAAGCTTCTATTAATGAAACAAGATCTCACACAATAGACTCCTAAATTTGCTTGAAAGCATATTTAAGAACCTTTTTATTATTATTTAGATGAAAATTTATCATAATAACACTTGTCAATTATCATCAAACTTACTTTTACTAGAAAAAACCTTGACAAGTTTGATTTATACTCATCACGTGATCATATGTCATTGATTTGCCAAAACTTGTAAAATTTTCCTAGTTACTATATTGAAATGACCATATGTCAATTGAAACTTTCAAAATCCAAAAATTACACTTTTCGTTAAATCAACTTTAGACTTAGTCTAATCAATTAAATTTTCATTTCTTAGTCAGATTGATCAAAACTAATATGTATTAAAAGTTTTTTTTCTTTGAAATCAACACTTTAATCAAAGACAAGATAGAAATGCTGATGCAAGTATTTTTAATTATCACAATAATTACCCCAAGTATAGACATCATAGCTAAACTTAGTCATAATTAAATATATCTATTCAAAATTAAGCTAATCATGTTAAATTTTTTGGATAATTCTAATAACACTTCACACATACAATAATAGGTTTTACAGATCAAACATTGTAAATACATATAGTTGAAAAAATAAATTATGTGATTCATCTCTTTGAACTTTGTTCATAAAAATACAACAAACTTTATCAAAATACTCTAATTTATGTGATTGAGATCTTCTATCTATTTTTTTTCATAATGATAGTTTAATCAATTATTGTCAAATTATTCACAAATCTCCGAACATAAACAATACAAATTCAAGAAATTACAAGCATACTCTCACACACAACGATGATACAAAAATACATAGTTTGTCACTTCCGGACTACATACACGGAAATCAGAAGATTAAATTGAAAATAAAATATTCCAAAAGAAACTATGACTTGCTATTCTATAGTGAACAACATAAATTTCAACTAAGTAAAAAAAAATTCTAAATCCATATTTATATAGGATTAAATTAATCAAAATTAATTGTGAATTAATACTAACAATATTATTATCAACTCATATTGTGTGAACAATATACATTATACTTCATATTAATTTTATGCTCAGAAATCTGAAGTGAAACATGATATTGATATTTCTTTTCCTAAAGCTAACTATAATTGAATTGTAATGTAATAAGGATAGAGTAAAATTGTATAAAAATAACAAAAAATAGATAAGAAACGTTACTTGTGCTATTTATGCAAAATCTACAAACTAACACCATGTCTTCTACAACTCTTCAAAAGAAACTTTAATCAACGCATCACCTAGATTGAATCTATCATCAATTTTTTGATAAATTTAATCTTGATTAAATCAATCTTTTTATCATAAATTTCAATTTTGAAAAAATTATATATAATGTCAATATGTTTCACTCTGATATTTATCACTTGATTTGCAATAAGATGTAACGCATTCTGATTATCACAATGGAGATTAACAATTTGATATTTTATTATCATCTTAATGATAAGCCTATTTAATCAAATACTTTTGAGTTTTGCTTATATTACATATTTATAGCAAAGTGTTTATATTGAACTACACATTTGCAAATTAAATTTTCAATCAATGCATCTATCATGAAGGTAAATACATATCCAGTTGTATATTTTCTCTTGTCAAAATTTTGTCTATATTTATCATCAACTTAGTCTTGCAAGACTTTGGCATTGTCTAATAAATCATCAAATAAAATAAAATAATTTTCAATTTTTCAAATAACTAATAATTCATTTTATTGATTTTCAATGCACCTTTCTTAGATTTGTTTTGTATTCGGTCATCTTGTCTAGAGCTAAAGCAATATCAAGTCTTAACCTATCATCAAATACAAGAGGTTGTTTGTAACATTCTCATGGCAAATTGTTAGAAATATGTTTTCTTCTTAATGGCAAGAATTGAGCATTGAGCTACAAAAAGTTTGAAATGTGATGCGAAAGGAGTCAATATTTCATGAATATACTTCATGAATTTCCTCTCTCTCGTTTGAACGCACATGTTACACATTGAAAACTAGAATATATGAATTAAGTCCGTAATCAATTATTTACACAAATAAAGTGTTACCTGAGCACTTAGTTCCCGTATATTTATAAAACAGATATCTGCAAATTTGTGTGTGTTGGATAAATATATTTTGTGGTTTGTTCCAATATATTTATTTGTATTGTTCAAAGTTTCTAGACTTTATTCATGAGATATTTACCCCAATTTATGACTCCATCGAAATCTGAAGTGCTTGATAGTATCCATCACGTTTTGTTTTAACTTGTTTAAGTTTTGTCTCATGGTACTCCATCGAGGGTACACCGTTGCGAAGTTCTAGAACGTGTTACTTTACAAGTAGACATATGATATGAGCTTTAGTGAACCTTTGCGATCTCAAATCGCTAAAGCGACATATTGGAAGTATTCCAGATTGTCATGGCAAACTTCTGCAACATGCCAAATTTTCATCCATTGGAAATGTTTCGCCAATTTCAGCAACAGCCTAGCTTCTCTGCCTGTGCTTCTCCATCTCCTCTCGAAAAATATCTTGACTTGCGTGGCCTGGTATCTGCTAAGAGACACGACGATGGAGTTAGGCCAGACCTCGTAAGACTTGGGAATTTCCATAATTATCGAAATTAACTTAAATTATGGATTCTATTTTTCTTAATTTTGTAAATTCTGGGATTTACTCAGAAACGCACTTTATCACTCGATGATGGTCTAAATCTGTCTTCCATAAATTGTCTCTGAGATATATGTTGAGTGTTAGAAGCTGAATATGTATAAACTACGAGACCTCACTGCCATGAAACAATTTTGAAGTCCACTTGGGTTTCTTCAAATGAGATTGTATTATCAAGCCAATGTGACTGCACAACTTCAAAAGTAGGCAAAATCAATACTGCAAGAAAGGAGCAAACTTCTAGAGGCAAGTGGGATATGCTACACCCTTTTGAGGACATGTGGATTACAGCAACATGGTTTGTGATTGATGAGAAATCTTCAGCTGGCGAAAAATGTAAAGATGATAACGAGTGGAATATAGTCTTAGATGCATGGACAGAGATATCGGGTAAGAAGTTCATGGAGATTAGATCATAAAGCTTCAGGCACCATCAATCACAGTAAACAAAATTTGCAATACAAAATTCACTTTTTGATTCTTCTTCGTAAAAGCTCAGCTTTTCCTTCCAGACGTCGTAGAAGGTCCATTCCCCTTTTCTCGGCATCGTGATTGACTATGGACTATGATATTGACGGCGTCCTTAATTTATGGACGCCGCGAGTTTTAATTTTGGTTAATTCTGGGATTCTGTAGACGAATCCCAGAATTTGGAGTCCTGAGTCAGGCAGGTTGTGGTTTAGTGGTCTAGGTGTCATAATTCTTTGTTCCATGGCACGGCTGAGGATAATTCCAAGGTTTTGACCTCACAATCTGCTGCCACATTGTAACACTGTCTCCAACGTCTGCTGATATAAGAACATGCTTAATGTAGATGGAGTACTATTGGGTCAAACGAAACTTAAGGGGTCCAATAAACATTTTAGATACCCATGAATACCAATAAATACCTCACTGGTGTACTTATTTGTATGGTAAAGTATAAAAAGCTTAGCCCTGATTAGAACAAATGAAATGTAGAGTCCACCAACTCTGAGGCGATGGGAGTGGCATCCATACGTTGTGTACTGGTGGCAACTAGCTTCCCAGTTTACGTTCGGTTACATGGAGTCTTGACATCTCTTCAGATATGTGACACTCTTTACTCCATGTTGTTATGCTTGGTAGGTTGATGTTTAACTATTGAAGTGTTTACAGGATAAATACACAGAGTAAAGGTGATATGTGTTAGCGCATGGTTTTGTTTAAGCTACGAGTACTAAGTCTTGGATTCACAAGCTACGAAATCACAACACCCAGCATGCTTCGTGAATTCATAAGGGTTCTCCGAATACATAGCTTCACCGACCGATAATGATCCCGGGGAGCTCACTAGAGGACAAATTTGTTGGGAAATTGTAAGCTAGTTCTGCGCAAACCCAGCCAAGTACTCAAGCAATAACTGGAGGCAACTTCGGAGAGGGGCACCGATTTAAGATGTGAAAAATCTCACTCTCGCGAAACTGTGGCCTCTTTGATTTTATGACGAAGACATTATACATGACTCGATGTAATCTGGTACAAAAATTGAATGGATCGACTGACCCATAAACTAGTGGTATAAAAATAGTCGCTATTTGTTTTCTCAGTGGTCACCATACATCTGCACAAACAGACACACCTTCTTAATTTGTTAGAACTAGGCTCAGTTCCGAGCTCCACATAGACCTAGGAAAACATGCACAGCTTTGAATTTTTCCGAGTCAACTTCACAAGCTGCGCGATTCATAATGTACAGAAAATGACAAATGCCTCTCCAGAGAAAATCGTACTTGGAACAGTGGTCGAGGAGCATGAACAGATTGTATGTGGACCGGATCCGCACGGCCATTCATATAAGCAGCACATCTACATTCAGAGCATGATGCGAAACCGAAGTAGGCGCTTTCTTCCGAATCCACCCATCGCCGTAACAGCACCTTCCTCACCCTGTCTATTGACTTGTTAGCCGTAGCTGAGGCAAATCTGGAGCAACCGCTGGAGCGGAACAGACATATTGCAGAAGGTACTGATTTGCGGAGCAAACGCTTGACAGGTCTTCGTGCAACCTTGTCAAACTCTTTTGCAAGGATCTCAAGAGAGGCAATAGCTGCTTATTCTTGGCCAAAATAGCTCTTCCATGGGCAACACATATCTCCTGCATACGCAATGCCTTGTCAGTACAGTGTCTCTATTTTTTAGAAGAGGGGACTCCTCAATAAGAGTTGCGATAAAATTAAGCAGCTGATGATCTTCACTGAAAATGGTCTTCAAGGACAATACCTGACACCACTCCAATAGAAACTCAAGGTGTGGAGTGCTCTCCAAGAAGCCATTGATAGCCCCCAAAAGCGTGCCCAGGTACGTCAAAGGTATAAACCGAGCGACAGTAGAAATGTCATTCAGTGGGACAGCTTCGATACTCCGTCGAATGATACTGATCTCCTTCAGCCGAAGAGACAGCACAACAGCGCGTGCATGTTGCTTGTTCAGCATTGCTTCCTCAATAAACTGCAATAAAGTGCTTTGAACCGTCAAGATGAAGGTCAAGTAAAAACCATCTGACAGTTCTCCGCTTTCACAGGGTCCACATATACGGTGGTTAAAATCTCACTCATGAAAGTTCATCATTCATTGCGTTGCAATGATTTGATAACATACAAAAGCTCAGATATTCACAACAAAGTCAAGAAAGAGGGCATCGTACCTCTGGAGTAACATCCACATCAAGATCAGTAGGATCAAATATCAAGTCGTCATCCATAGAGAAGACCAGTACACCCTCACAGGTTGCGGCTGCCCATGATCGCCCTGTTGGTGAAATCTGTAGACACTTGGTCCGCACGGAAGTTCTTGTGTTTTTTTTCGCAGTTCCTGGCAGTCCTTGTCCCTTGCCCATGAAATCAAATCTCTCGTCATCGCTGTCGTCGTCGTCGATCATGTCGAGAGGCCCGGCATCTGTCATATTCTTTGAATTTAACATGTCGCGAACTCCATCTAAAGACATATCGTACGAGATTTGAAATCTTCTTAGCAGCACCTGGACAGATCCACTTCAGTTAGAATCTGCGCAAAATAAAGAGCTGGATCTGTAAGTCTGCCAACTGTAGACATGAAGACATATCAAAGCAACACTTAGAAAGGAAAAACAAACCGAATCTTCTCCCCAACTACCCCTCTACTTCAGCGTTTTACCCAGCTGAAGTAGAGAAAAAATGGGACAACCTTGTCTAAACTTGAAGAGCAGAGAAAACCCTACGAGGGTAATTCATAAATCAATACCTGTTCAGAAACGTCGTACAAGCAGATATACTTGCTGGTACCGCCGGCCAGCAAATAACGTCCGTCGGCTGTATAGGCTATGGTGTTGAAAGCTTTTCCAGAACTGGAGTTTGCAGCTGTTCTCCTGTCGGACATGAGCCTTCCACCAGCAATGTCACGCCGTCCTTCTATAGTAAACGTAAGAACCCCTTCTAAGGGATCCCACAGATGTATCGAGCCATCTAGGGTGCTGCAAGCAAGCTGTTTACCATCGGGTCGGTAGGCCAGCGCCAACACCTCATGTGTATGTGAGAAGGTTTCTATCCCACCCTTGCCTTTGAAAACGTCCCATAATCTCACGGACTTGTCCCACGAGGATGACGCCAACAATTCCTGCTCAACGCAACAATACACGTTTATCTGAGTATTCGGCCCTCTCGAACTCATCCGCAATTAGCTCGTCAAAAAAGATAGCACTCCAATCGCTACACTACAGAAAGTGGCAAGAAAAACCTCACATCAGTTGGTGAAAAGGCAAGACCATAGACGGGGCCATCGTGTCCACTCAGCATGTCCAAAAGCCGACCTGTCTTCATCGACCACACGTATATCTGCGTGCAGCTTCATGATATTAATATATGCCTTTCAAGATTGAGAGAGGGATGCACAAAAGTTACACAGGCACAAAGCTTAGAGTTACACTCCATTAAGGACCCTCGATACTTAAGGAAACAACAAGGTAGTGCCAGGGTTCGCCATACCTGAAATGTGTCTAGAGAGCCCGCACATATCACCTCTCCGCTTTGATCCGCGGCAAGTGAAATGAATTGCGTAGGAGCGGGAGTAGTGAAAGTTCGAAAATTTCTGTAACGCATCAAATCGAAAGCTCGCACCGTCCCATCCAAAGATGCACTCACGACAGCGCGGTTTCCAGAGAGGAAGAGAACTGCAGTGACAGCATTGGTGTGCTCCGTGAAAGTTACAAAACAAAAACCTGTTGAATTGTTCCAAACCTGAACAGTGAAAAGAACCAATTATCAAACCCTGCAAAAACCCTCTACAACCTGTCCAAAATTTAAGCGTTTAAATAATTCCTCCTACAGAACTATTGATAACTGAGTACTAGAAGTGAGGTGAAGATGAGTACAAATCCCTTAAAACGGAGTGACTTAAACTCCATTCGACAAATCGCACCTTTAGCTTGTTGTCATCTGCACCAGTGGCCAAAAGCTGTGAATCAGGAGAGTAGGCGACGCAATTGACATCGAAGTAATGACCCTGCTGCTTCAAAACGTAGGTTTCGGATCGCCACTCCCATACTAGCAGCTGACCCAGTTTTGCACATCCAAATGCTAGCCAGTTTCCTGTTTCGTTGAATGCTGCTGAAGTGATCTTATCCCTCGAAATTGACAACAGATGAAGACAGGTGAATTCCGGAAGCTGATAAAGCCCAAAAGTGCCCGTTGCGAATCCAGCGACCAACAGGTTAAGGCGCGGGTGATAACTGCAAGAAGTCACGCTCGTCTTTTGCAGGAAGAAATGCTTCTTAGATAGTTCCCATCGCCCTTTGTCCAACCGAGAGCAACTCAGTTTCCTCTCTTGGAGTTCAGCTTTCAATGGATCCACAAATCCTCTTTCCTGTTGTTCAGAGACATCCTGTTCTTGTTTTCCCGTAACAACAGCTTCCTCGCCGCTTCCAGGTGTTTCTTCGTCTAGAGTGGTTGTCGCCTTACCTTCGTCTTCAGCTTCTTCTCTTTTCCGCCTTAACTTCTTCTTTCTTGCTTTCTCTATTAACCTCATCTTCCTCTTCTTACCTTTGTTAACATTTTCTTCATCTTCCGGATTCAGCACTACAGTGAAATCGTCGTCTGCATCATCCTTGCTAAAGTTCGTTCCATTAGTCTTGCTACCTGCGATTCTGACCGTGTCGGCGACAACTTCAGGCTCTTCAGAGCCTCCAGCAGCTAAAGCCTCCAAAGAAGCAAGAACTTCAGGAGATGCTTGTTGGAACTGCCAGTGGAAAAGCGCCCCATCTCGTGAGACTGAGTAGGCTCCAGTGACAGAATTGAGGGAGGAGTCGTCTTTGGTGAAGTAAACCCCCACAATAGGATCGCGGTGACCTGATAGAGTCACTGGGTGATATGCAGGCAATCTGTGCACACAAAACAATTTGCACACGAGATCTCTGGTTCCTGCTATGATCCAATCGTTGTCGGGACTCCAGTCCAAGCACGTGACGGTATCCTGTGCGACGAAAGTCTTGAGCAAATGGAAGGCGCAAAATTGCCTGCGGTATCCGGGAGTACGCCACACCTGTACAAGCTTGCCAACTCCTGCGGCAAACATGGAACCGTCGGGGCTGAACTTGATGGCGCTAACAGGGCCCTTGAATCTGAGCCTGTGCAGTAAGCGGCGACGTCTCACGTTGAAAAGCAGAGCACGCCCCTTGGTGTCAACCGAAAGCATCAATGTTCCATCGGGTGACACTGCCATTCGAGCGACATAACCCGAGTGCTGCCCGGGTAAAGTGTTGCTTTCTGACAGCTTCAAATCCGTGAGCGCGACGCGCGATCCCAGAGGCAGAAGCAACTGGGTCGGAGAAGCCCATGCTAGCGAGCCTCCCCTGAAAGGTGCTCCGAGCAGATTACTCTCCTTGTACTGCATTGGAGCTCTCGACTCCTCCGACGAATTCCAACGATTCCTCAATTCCCCATAACCCACCACACAGATCCCCTTACTGTCTTCTGTCCCTTACACGATGCAACACCTGACTAGAAACAATTTCCGAGCTCTGCTTCCCTCCAATTACCACTCTTACTTGGAGTTTGCTCGCGCCATGCTGAATTCTTAATGTTCACGCTGCTCCAGAGTCACCTATGAAATGCTTCGATACATTCCTAGCGAAATGATGCTCAACAGCGAATTGTTGATAAGTATCACACTTCAGGCGCATTAAAATTGAACATGCCAAGAATCGACAGTCTTCTCCGTCCGCTGCAGGGACGAACAAAGAACGAAATCAGGTTTGAATTTTCCAACGCCATTGCTGAATTTCCATTGAAGCATCGGAGGTTTCTCTTGTCTAGCGAGAACGAGGGTTTAGGGCTCTGCACCAACACATTCTCCGAGAGACTGACTCTGTCACAGCCTTAGGGTTAGGGTTTAGCAAACGGACGCAGGGAATTAACGAACGGAATGCGTTTTCTGTTCGTGGGATGTGGAAACCTGGGTTCAATAAATTCTTCATATTACATTTAACATAGGTCAGTAGAGTACGAACGTCTACTGCGACATAAAACCAACTTATTTAACAAGAGGTAAAGGGTATTATAAAACTATAGGAACATCCCATCCATCCAATCAAACAACAAAACAGAGACAATAGGGGCTAGCCCCTATAGTGTCCTGATAAGTTTTAAATGTCATACAATTTACAATGTATCAACTATTATTATCAATATATTGAAAGTCTCATTATCCCAAATAAACGTAAATGAATAACATTCTTTGTACAATGGAAATGAATGTTCTTTATTGGGCGATGGAAAAAAAAACTGACTACACAACCTTCCACCGAGAATGAAACTATATTGTGCAAACCGAACGAACATGTCAAAATATGCATTCATAGCTAACTCCAATTTGAGGGAAACAAAGAAGTGAACTCTTGCACTTTACCGTACTTTGAATTATTGCCTATTGTCGCAACCTTCGCGGTCCATCCATATTAATGGATAATCATTTCTTCCGAAATTCCATCAGGTGTAGGAGTTATAAACTCCACATATGCGATGATAACTTGACGAATTCAAGTCAATGATAACTAGTTCTCAATTTCACAAAGTATCAACATCCAAATGTATATAACAATGGATGAAAATATCTAGCAACAAATTGATAATATATCAGTATTGAAAAATTTTTATATGAATAATTATCTCAACACCTCATGCATTCAACACTCATTTTTAATTTCAGCATCATGAGAAATAGCAAGGTGAAATGAAGATGAGTATCTTAAACAAAAAAGCTTAAAAAAATAGTTTAATAAACTCCAGAAGAGTATAGTTAGGGCAAATACCAGGCACTAGGCGATAAGCTTGATGCTTATTTGGCTGCATAAGGGGAGCTCAAAGAAATAGTACAGGAAACTCAACAAGAGCCTAGTTCAGGCGAAGGCAATAAGCTTGATGCACTTAACTTAAACTAAAAAATCCATTGAACCCAAGTTAAACATCACAATGTTTTTGTTGAATACACTAAATTTATTCAAATCAATTTTGGATTATTCAAATATAAAATTTATATTCACATGGAAATTTCGAAATTAAATTTTTTTAAACACTTTATTCTATCTATTTTTTATGATTTTATAAAATATATCGAAGACATTTTTAAAAATCTAGGAAAAACATCTTCAATTTCATCATATATTTGATAAAATTCAATGGTGATATTGATTTTAGTGTATATACACCCAACACACACCCACTCTGTGCTATTTCTTGGGTGTATAGCGTGGCATTTCTTGGGTGTATATCACTAATACAGTAGCCTCTCGCTTAAGTACGCAACTTGAACCTGGACACTTTGTGCGTACTTAGCCGGTAGGTGCATACTCTAGACTGTGCACTCCCAAAATTCAGCTTGCATTTGCCTCTCATGTCGAAGAACTCGAATGGAAAGCGTCTCAATGAGTCGCGACGCTACGAGATTATCTCGAAGCTGAGCAAGACGTCTGAAGATGCTGACGATGAGAACAGCGAAGCATTTGCGCTCACAGGGTTGGAGGATGTGGAAGAACTTCTAGAAACAATAAAAGTTGCTGAACCCGCGGAAAGTAATGACGATGATGAAGTTAATCCGCTTGAACATAATGCTGAAACACAAAGCGGCGTCCACTTCTAAGGGTTCGAGTTACTCTATAAGCAGGTTCTCGACATCGAGGATTAGCTTCTATGCCCTGATGTTCAAATCAAAGCTGATGAAGCCTTTGATGATATAAAGAAATCATTTGAAGCATTTCAGGGCAAGCTACGGGCCGTTTGTGTTAATGTTAAGAAGAAGAAACTCCAAAACCTGCGTCAGATGACAATTCGTGACATGTTTGCCCAATAAATGTTGAACCCAAACTTTTTGGGAAAAATATGCGTACTTAGCCGGGATGCGTACTTAAACGGGTGCATACTTAAGCGGAAGGTTACTCTACCACGGAGTGGGTGTGTGTTGGGTGTATATACACTAAAATCAGTACACTCAAATTCAATTAAAATATTTACTATATCAGTAAATGAGTAGGTGTCAATATATCATTACGTATTCTTTACAAACAAGCAAACAAAAATATCAATAAATGATTTATTTGAAATTGAAAAAAAATGACATATTCATTTTGATTTTTTTGAATCATGAATATATTATGAATATTCAGTACATTGAGAAAAAAATTATGTGGAATCAAAATTAAAATCTTGAACATAATTGCATTTGAATGAAAATAAAAATTACTTGATTGATTTTATAGATGTTTAAAAATGATTAAAACTATAACTTATCACAATATCTTCAAATTTTTGTATTCTTAATGTAATTAAATCTACTTAATAATATACATCACCATACTTTCATAAATTGCTCATTTGTAATTTATGCTAACACTGCAATCAACGTATATAAATTATCATCTAGTTAGAATGTGAATTAATGGTATATCATCTTTAAATAATTTACTAAAATTAAATGTTGGTATTTAAATCTGGAAAAATACTGATTGCGGTAGGTACTTTGCAAAGCAAATAAAAGCTCTACTTTCTTTTCTGGTATGATACATGCATGACTCCACTGTGTCCCTCGATCCCGCATTACGCGCATGACTTCAGATAAGAAAATAATTCTCTCCAATAACTACTTAGAGTGCAGATAAACTATATATTTTATTTGCCAAGGCAAAACACGAATCAATAAGTATCGGTAAAAAAACAAAAACGAAAGACAACTCAACTTAGTCAATCAACGTATTTGACACAATTTGTTTTGTAATGCGTCTTTGAAAATATAAGAAATTTTGTTATTCACGTAAAAATTTCAAAAATCTTAAAGTTAAACTTATAATTTTAAAGTAGATGTTCAAAAATTAGACCTTGCCATAAATAGTTTCTTGATTTGATCATTAGTATATCAATATACTAAATATTTAAATACCTTATGTTATTAATAAATATTTTATCTATTTAATATAAAAATTTGTTTACAAAAGTTATTTGTGTGTATTTTAAGATATTATTTTGATTTGAAAGATTTATTGAAATCATACTTAGTATATTACTAGTTTTTTCACATTGTAATAATATAAATCACGAACAAATATGATTCCATCCAATGTATTATATTTTTTTCCAATGTTTCAATTCATTATTAATGTATTTATCACAGTTTTAGCATCACTACAAATTCATGTCAAATATATTACTGATGTATATATTTTAGACATAAGTCTGAAGTTCCTTCGGACAAAGGCACGTCCGAAGTCCGACGTTTGAGGTCTGAGGTTACTTCGGACGAAGGTCCAAAGTTCAAAGCTCCTTCGGCCGAAGGCCTTTCCGTTTAAGTCCAAAAAACACTTTTGTCAAAGTTTCGAATATCCTTTAGCCGAAGTTCCGAATACCCTTCGGCCGAAGGCTCTTCAACGCCTTCGACCATCCATACTAGCCACTTCCGACACTCATAACTGAGTGATGCCTTATCCGTTTCAAGAGTTCTGGGCTCATTACAACAAGCGTGTCAAACTATATATATCAAGAACCTAACTAAGTCAAGTCGTTTGGAATTGAAAACGTTATGAGTTATTTACTCTATCAGATCATAACTCATCTAATTCAGCTTTACTGCTTACAAGTAAAAATACTAACGTGAAAGAGAGGAAGCTGAATGTAACTCACTATTTCTAACTTATCATCTGCTACCAAATCCACTATTTACTTTACTTTGAATTGTTTTTATACTAAAATTTTGAAATCACTAGTCTTCTATTTCTCAAACTTCTCATTTCGAGAAAGAAAAGAAAAACTAGGTTACCACAGAACTTTTTTAGTTGATTTGCCAATTATAGACATTATAACTAAAAATAGTCATAACTTGATAAACTTAGTTATAACTAGCTCAACTTAGTCATTTATAAGTTAACCATGTTTAGCTTCTTGGCTATTGATATACTATTTTATACATACAACAATCGATCTTACAAAACCACGTTAAACGCTGTCTTTCTCGTGTTGATGTTTAACTTGAATGTTTAGTCACTAATGATTATCAAGTTGTATGTCTACAATTGATATCAATAAAGATTCCGATTTGAAATCTATGTATAGGCGTAAGTTTTTCTTAATGACATATTTTTAATTGTTAACAGGAATCTTATGACAAATTTTACTCTTGCAAACAAATAACCTGATTTTTATGACAGTTTTATTTAAATAGTGGTTTTCTACGTTCAATAGACAACTAACATGATTTGGTTGTGATAGAAATTTGAATGTTCTGCTAAAGATTATGATGAAATTCAGTCACCAAAATTTTGAAACTAAAGACAGGTCTTTTTTATTTGACAATTTTTTGATGTTGTCGTTTTTTTGAAAGGAAATACAAGTAATTTTTTTCAGTAATAATTACTTGATAGGAATTTCACCGTGACAAAAATTTGACGGTGTGATGATGAATTTTCTAAAAAATGATAGAAATTTGTCGAGAGTGAATTATTTTATTTTAGATATTACTAATCTGATTTGGAAGTCACATTCAAAGTAGGCATAGATGTCTTTAGATGCGTTGTTCATGCTCAAAGCAATAACCAACAAGCTGTGTAATGTTCACGTGTCAAAGTCAAACAATGTTCCAACAATTGCGAAGAAACGCTTCTCATTTTGGACCACCGGTGTTGACGAATCAAGCATCTTCACGGCGAGTACCTGACCATAAGGTAAGTAAGCGCGGTAACTCGGCCAAGGTATTTTTTTCCGATTAAATTTTCTTGGTCAGAGCTTTTAGTGACGACCTCAAGGTCAATTGCGGAGTACATGATGCAAA